CACCAGGGAGGTGTGTATCCAGGTTCAGGGACAGCCTAGACAGTCCTCATGCCTCACCAACATTTGCCCAAGAGAAGCCAGCACCAGATCAGCAGAACAGGAGCTGAACACTCTCAGGTATCACCTAGCTGAAGTCTGGATCTGGTTCCACTGAGCAGCTGTTTGTGTGATTTGAAAACAGAGCCAGAAGCAGCTGCCAACACCAGAGTACAGCCCCCGCCAGCTGCTCACGCAGAGGCTCTGCAACCCCAAGTAGTGCTTGGGAAGAAGGATAGCAAGGCAGGTCTGGAAACCCCCAAGGGAGTGCTTTAAAGGGCAGGAAAACCGCCAGGAGCCGTCTTGTGCCATCAGCCGGTTACAAAACATCTCCCAGGGAAGCAGGTATCCCCGTCACAGTTACAGGAAAGACTGTGCGTAGAAGAGCCAGAAAAAGCACACCTAGCAAGCACCACGCTCTTCTCATACCGCAGCAAGGACAGCCTTCCTCTGCCAGGGGTTAAGGCTCCTCTAGCTTTGTTATGAGCTACCAGCCCCGTGAGACATCCCCCACAACTTCCCCACCATCAAGCCCTCCTGGCACGATAAAGAGCTCCCGCTACTTGATGCCACCAAGCCTACCACTTTCCTTCCAGGTTATGTAGCTGAAGGTAGCCGTAAGGTGCAAAGCCAGCCACCTGCATTGCTCAGATCCTCACAACCCCTCAGTTACATTTTCCTGCCACCAAGCACCTTTGTTATTAAGTTTAAGGTCTTTAAGGGAGTTGTAAAATTGTGATTTGTGGTATTTAATGCTAAGCTCACTTTTGGAAATCAATTGAAGAAAGCCAGTTCATATCCCTTTTCCCTACTCCCATCTCTCTTAAAAAAGGAGTACTCAGCCTGGTAACGTTTACTGAATTCTAGGACTTTTGGCTTGCAAGAATGGATTTATTTGTAACGGAGGAAGAAGGAAGCTGGTGACCAGGAGAAGGGGAACCTCTAGTGGCCACAGCCTTTCTTTGCAGCGAGCCCCAGCAGTGCAGAGAGCTGGCACGGAAATCAGCTGTGAACTGTTCCTGCAAGCTCAGCAACCCCTCTTTTCCACACTGCATCCATCGCCTTAGACCACAGCTTTGCTCTTGGAACCCCCCCTGTACAGAGCATAGGAGGCCCTCGTGTTCCATATGAGGTGTACATGCTGGGTTTTGGTTGTTTCACTCAAACCTCACTCAAACTTTCACTTAAACCCCAATAATTGAATGGAATTTCACTGGAAATTCAAACAGCTGTTTTTTACTTCATTGGTCGTGGCCTGCAGGGAGTTTCAAAAGGCCTTTTGCACAGAGGTTCTCTATATCCTCTAACTAGACCAGTAAGTTCCTGTAGTTTCCACAAATCTCACATTTACATTTCAGGCATTGGCAAAGACCAGGCTTAAGCGACAGGAATATTTGTTTAAACCAGTGCTGCTAACTAGAAACACTCCTTTCAGTGGCAGAAAGCATTTGTGCTGTCTATCAGGGACACGGGCAGGGAAGAGATCCAGGTTAAACCCAAGCCACTAAGAGGAACAAAACATGATTCTTAAACAAGTAGTTCCCTGAGCGAGCTGCCTGCCTGCTGCCAGCAGTCCAGTTTGCGCTGGCAGAAGACAGGCACAGCCTCCAGTGAGGACAGCGCTGCCTCACAGCAGCTGCAGGACTGGAGAGAGTCGATGACGGCATTTACACGCAGAGGGTGCAACACTGTTAGTCTGATCTACAGTTTGCAGCTGCTGGTGGCCAGAAGACACCTCTAAGCTCCATTTTAAACCCAGGTCAGGCTGGGGCAAAACACACTCTCTGGCCCTGCCAAAGGGAAAGCAGCTCATTTCAGAATTTGCCAGTCTACAGTTTTTTACAGTCAGTTTGGCACCTGATCTTGATGGAAGCCTTGTGAGATCTCCTAAAGTGGTCAGGAACTGTGCAATCGCTTCACTGTAGTGAGGAGTTCATGTGAGAGAACACATGCTCCAAGGTTTATTTCTCTGTTTCAGCATGGCATTTGCTATGAGGTCTATAGGTAGGAAAATAACCCAATGAAGGACAAAGTCAGTTGCCTCCACAGTCAAACACCTTTTAATACAATTCAAGATTCTGCACAGCGACAAAAACAGAATCAATGTACGACAGCAATTCCAGCGGTAGGGTAGAAAACCATTTCAGCAGCACACCACCACCCATCTGAAGAAAAACATCACCCCAAACAACACACACAGTCATCTCAACCATGAACAGTATGACACTCACGACAGAGCTAGCAGAAAGGCATCTCACGTTAACAGCTGAGTGCCTCAGCGTCCGGTCTGTCCAACAGCAGCACTCCAGGTGCCAGTCACAGGGGCTGAGCTCTTCCAGTGCCACGGCTGCAGGTGAGCTCTTGGTCCCGCTGGCCACAGCATCAGTGTCCCTACAGCGACTGCAGGGTCAGAGGGCAGAGGAACTCACTCCCCATCAAAAATGAGGGGAGATTTCCAAGGACAAAGCACATGACGTCAATGCACACGCACAAAAAGCACTCAATCGATCTGCAGGTGCCATCCCTCCATGGCTAAACAGAGATCTCTCTTGGCATGAAGTTTAACTCTCTGAAGAACAGTACTGCCCACCCCTCCAACTCGTCTTCACTTATCTCAACACAGAGGAAAGAGGAGCTTGTCCCTTCCCTTTGCTAAATGGCCTCTATTAATAGGAGGCAGATTGTCGTGCTTCACCAGAAAAGGGAGCATGTCAAAGTGCACGATCTGTGGGAACGAAGTCTGCCCAGCCTGGTGGACAGCTGGAAATGGTTCCTGTGGCCTGGGAACAGCTTAGATGCCACTTACAATATACTCAAGTTTCTGGTGTCAGGAGTTTCTGGTCCTTTCTGCCTTCACGAGAACATTACAAAGCAAAAATGGCTTCTCGGGAAAGCAAATACTCTCTCGAAGAACTGTGGTACCTGAGGCCCAGCCTTCAGCTCTCCAGCTCCACACCGAACAGCTAATCAAGTGACACTGGCCTCTTGCGGTCACTGCTGCCAGCAGGACTACAAACTACATCAGCAGCTTCTCGGAATTACAAGCACTTCACAGCTGGGCTACTTCAGATAACTTTCTTTAACTTTCTGATAAGGCACCCATTGTAGTAATTGTCTCAAAACCCAGACTGTGGTCGCCACCTCAAGAGTTTTGCATGTAACACAAAGTGAATCACCTGAACTTTGATATGCACTTGGTCAGCAACCACCACTAACTACACAGGGGAAAAGCAGCCTCTTAGCTACTGGAAGGGAAATCAAGTCACCTGAGGTGTCTCACAGCCACAACAAGAATTACACATGAGGATTCACACATGAAAAGGAACATTCATTTCTACCAAACAAAAGGATTGTGTGGAGATGACACAGCACTGTACAATTCCTTTTGCTAGATTACTGCGGCCTCTTGCTTATTCAGGCTATTCAGATTTCAAACGCACATCCTGGTCCTGCAGGACGTCTGCAGCAGGGTAGTGCTGCATCAAACTGAACTGACCCCCGGCGTGTGCCTCAAGACTGATACAAATGCGGATCGGCAGCAGCAGCAGGAGGAGGATCAACCCTCAAACCCTTTACCCCCCTTGCAAACTCACACAGGTCATCGCTCAAATGGCTCTGGGCGTTGTGTGCTCCAAGCCCAACGGACTGCAAACCCACAGACATGGAGCAGCGGTGGGACGCTGCCAGCCACCCAGCTGAACCTCTTACTGTAAGAATGAAGATTTATCTTTAGTCACATGAAAGGCCGGTTTCCCGTCTAGTTAAGCTACCAAAAAGGCATCTTTTGTTGACCTTTCCTGCCAGGGGAGGGGGTGTGTCAGCAGTTGTACTCATCTGGCACATGGGAAGCTGAGCTGAGGCCCGCGACTGACTTTTGAAAGACACTCAAGACTCAGATGCCTGAAACTCACCGATTTTCAGTACTGCTCCTTGAGTTCTCACACTAGATGGATTTATGAGTGACTACGAGTTATTTCTGACTTCAAACACCCAAATCCCTGTGCGCTATGAACGGAGCCGGGAAAGGAAAGTGCTTCTTAGGTATGGCTCAAGAGGTGGGATGGTACTTGGGTAGCTGCATCTGGCAGGAATGGTGAGTGAGAAAAATCACATCACCACTGCCAGCTGCAGGAAAGATTTTGCAGATAAAACATATTCATTTTGAGTGAAATTAACTAGAGTCCCGCAAACCCTGCCAACACAGAGCTTGATGGAATTCCTGACAAGTTAACAAGCTGAAAATTAATGCTATTGTGTTTTGTGTTGGTTTTGTGTGTTTTCAGCTTCCAGGAAAGGTCAAGAAAGGGAAGTTTCTGAGCACTGCATATACGCTGTACCTTTCAGCTGCCTGAAGCATGAGTCAGTTTGAAGTCATTATACTGATATGGAATAGGACTGTAAACAAAATCAAGCCTTTGAGACATCATTGTCCAGTCTGGATGCCCTCCTCAGAGGCAGACTCCTCAAACAGATGCAACTGGAATGTGTCAAGGGTTCAGGTACAAGGAGAAGGATAACCTGCAATCACGGTTCTTGTGTGAATTGAGGGCTTTCGTAACTTAGGAAACAGTAAGTACTGATTTGTCTGCACCATGTCTCCTTATAGCAGGACAATGATTCTATGAACTACTGTTCTGCGTCAAATCTGAGGTCACCAATGTTCCCTGCGAGTGGACATTTGATATTACTGGCTCAAGCCAGCCACTGGTGCCAGTGGCACACAGCTCTACAGTACACCTCAGCCTGCTCCATGCCTCTGAGAAACTGCACCAAACTCGAACCTATCCTGTGATACAGACTGGTATCCATCCGTATTAGGATGGTTTGAAAACATTACAATTTCATTTTTACCTAATAACAGGACCCGAATCCAGATCTCTAGAGGTAAAGAGCTAAGGAGTTAATCAGATATATTACTACACCTTGACTCGTCTTAAATAAAACAAGAGTAAACAACTAAGCCCTGCATTCAAGTACACCACTTAGTAATTACTAAAAACCACTGAGCCCAGCAGAAATCATGTTCTAACTTGGCTCCTGTGTTAGAATTTGCCTTGGGAATCCTAGGACAATTGAAAAACTAGTTTATTAATGATAGTCATGTCAACCATTCATGGTGTCCCTGAAGCCCCACACCTCCAAGACAGAGATCTGGAAGCTTTCAGAGCACAATGGCTGGTTATTGAAAGTATTGCAGTGGCTGGTTCTTCCATGGTTCAGATCCGCATCGAGGTAAAGAGCCTGGCCATCACCACCTCCTGTGAAGAGACAAAGACAAGTGTAAGGGTCTCTCTGCACTTCTTAGCATGGGAAACTGCTATACAAAAAAAAAACCAACAACCCAACAACAACAAAAAAAGAGGACTTCAGTGTTTTTCTCATGGGAACAACTGGAAGCCCCAAGTGATGTTTGTCTTCAGGTGTCATGGAATATGATCAAACGCATAGCTTCTAAATGGCACTATCAGAACTGGATGATTTGCTTTTAAATTTAAAAAAAACAGTAAGACAAACCAGTAAGAACAAGAAGCCTGACTCAAATGCCTGCATTTAAGATTTGGTTTTCAGTGCTGGAGGATCTTGGAAGCTACCAATTGCATATCTTCCCTCCAGTAAAGAAAACACAAAGACTTCTGTAAGCAGTCAAAAAATGAAACCAAGGAGAAGAACAAGATCAATGAGCACTGACTTGGTCTTCTAAATCATTATAAAGCACATCAGAGTTAAAGCATTTTGATTATCTGCAGGTCTATGTCAAGATTCATAGAGCTTACAGTCAGAGAATGCAGTGAAATGAAATAAATTTAGACAGAAATGTGTTAGGAAAACAAAAAGGAAGACTTCCCTATTGCTTATAGGGCAACCATCTAAGAACAGCTACTGAAAACATCTGAGGAATCAAAAGGGTGGAAATCTGGTCTACAGCTGGAATTGTGTACAACAACCACTTCTAAGCATCTACTACCCAAGCTTCTATTTCTCTTATCACTACCCACAGTGTAATACACAGTGCCTATAAGTAACCCTCTTATCTAAGGCTGATGGGAAGAGCTGGCGGGATACGTGCTCAACAGTAAAGACCTCTGAAATACATGTGGTTCATCATCAACAGTGATTTCTAACTCAGTTACACCGGCACTGAAGCTCTTGCCTGCCGAGCTGATACTGGAGCAGCCCAACTTACCGTCGATTAGAGCACACGCTGACAAGTGGGAAAGCAGGCAGCACGACGTCACAGAGGAAATCACCAGGGTAGCTGCTCTTCTAACAGGTGTCAAGTAAGGCTTTTCGGGAAAAGGACAACTACAATTTTATACCTGTTCCTTTTCGATCCCATTTAGATGACAACTTTACCAAGCCAGCTTTTGCCAAAGTCAGCAGCACCAATAAAGTTCCAGGAGAATTAACATGCTTTATAGTTTACCCTGTGTTTCAAAAAGTTTCAAAAGCCTTACATTACAGCAACGTAAGCTCCTCTTCAAGACCTACTTCTCATCATAAATTAGGCTGTGCTTAAAGCTATGATTTACTATCTCACTCAAAAATGCTTGACATGCAAGTTTTCCCACAGAAATTTTTTGTTGGGTAATAATGCCAGGTTTTGGCCACTTTTACCTCTAACCATAGCGATACTGAAATACATGTATGGTAAACACGGGTGATTCTCGTACCTAAGGCAGACAGGAAGAGCTGGTAGGACATATGCTCAAATTCTCACCCTGACTTACCTATAATGATGCATTCGCTGCTGCCAGCCATGAACATGGAGGCTGTTTTGGAAGGCAAGTTGAAGTGTCGAGCTGACAAGAAGGGAGAAAGGCGATCTGAGGGGTCTGACGGGACGCTGCCAGAAGAGAGAGTGCTGGAGGCTGGTGAGGCATGGTTTTCTGGCTCTGAACTGACTGTGGCCAGTTCTGGGTGTTTTATGATCACCCACTCATAGCGTTCCACTTCTGGCTGCAGCTGCATCAGGGCAGAGAAGAGCAAGGCTTTAGTTAGTGCACAGGCACTACACAGAGCTCTGGGCAGCAAAGAACATTCAAGCCCCTCAGACTCCAGCTGCACGAGTAGCAGCAAAGACTGGATCAAACTGTCTTTTAGACCAGGTGTTATCTTCTTTCTTTATACCTTTGCTTTTTAGGTGATTGAAAAAATGATGCAGTGTTTTCTGGTTTTAAGAAAATATTCTGTGTGAGGAGAGAAAAAAAGATTACCACAAAACTGAAAAATAACATTTTCTCCTCCACATTAAGAGTTCAGTAGACTTTATAAACCAGGAGGGCACATAATCCAGTCTCTTCAAGTGGAAGGGACGGAAGTGTTACTCACACCAGTGGTTCTGCCCTGCTACTGGGTAGTGACAATAAAATTTTACTCACCCTAAATACAAAGCACTCCCCAGTTCCAAAGAAACTCAGCTTGCTCCCTCCTCGCCTGCGCTCGCTCCAGTCAGTGGACAGATAAGCACCGCAGACCTAGCACAAACAGCACCATCAGGAGGCTTTCCAGCAAAGAAGAAAGGGCGTTAAACCAATTGATACCGACATTTCCGAGTCCAGAACGGAAGGTTTTATTTCAGTTTGATTTTCAAAATCTCTGTATCAGTGGATTAAGGCAGCACAAATACTTAGATCTAAAGATAGATTTAAACTGCTTAAATCCACTGGTGGGTACCCTTAAATCCTAAGAGTTTCATAAATTATTTCACATCTCTGAGGCCTTAAAGGAGAAATGTTCCAATGTAACCCCAGGTACCGAAACACAAATCACTCCAAACTTGTAAAGCCTGACTTCCACTTCCTCATTTTGGCATCCAACCAACTGTCACAAGTTACAGTATGAGCAATTCTGCCTGAACTTGGTGGCTTCCTCCATTTCAAACCGTAGGTTAAAATCAGCTTAGCTAAGCCAATGCCGCACTAGCTCAGACATTTAAAGCAGCCTATTCAAACAGCATGGGGTTCACTAGTTTCCAATAACGAAAAACATAGCCTTAGAGGGCTAAGCTTTTCTGTGGAGTCTTTTGTTTGCTCTAGAAGAATTTCTTGCTACCAGCAATAGCATCACTGCCAAGTGGACACAGACCAAACAATGAAGCTCTTAAAAAAATGGGATAAAAGCGACCCTGTGTTTTTTTTTTTCCTCAGAAATTATAGTTAAACAAAATTGTTCTAAGGTACATTTGCTGTTTAGCCTCCACCAGCATTACAAGCAGAGCTCCTAGGACAAAATTACTGAAGAGCAGTTTTTTCATATAGATAAATCATACGCATAAACAAAAAGACGGCCCAGAACTCTGTTAGATCTGATATGCTCGAAGTACACGAGAGCCATAAAATCAGAAGGCAAATTTCCTTCTTTCTGAAATCTAACAATAGATATATGAATAAAGGATGGACATAACCCTTTGCAAAAACCCCAAACCCACAACCAACAAACCCCCCCATACTTTGCCCCTACTTTTTTTGTCTGGACTACTTTTTTTTTTTGAGGTTTAAGAAATAACTGTACTATAAACCCCAGCATTACTTACAAAGCCGGACTTTTAACATGCTCCAGAACAAGCAGCAAAATAATAAATATTTTCCCTCTTGCCCTTAGATACCACAGCATTCTATAAGCCATTGGCATGTCAGCGCAGGCCTGGGATGGCAAGGACCATACACAGAACTATGAAACAGCCTGGACCGTCAGCATTAGGTAGATGCAAATAGGAGTAGAAATGGGCTTTTTCAGGCATAGTCATCCAGCAGGAACACAAGCAGAAGTATAAGCCCACAGACTGCAACAGCAGCTTAACATTATACACAGAATATTTAGAAGTCATACACAGTGGCGCAGACAAGCAAGGCTCACTACAGGAAGCCCCTGTGTGCCCTCCTTCAGAGGTTCTGGGAAACCTTCTTGGTTTATGCATTGTTTTTTTTAAACGAGCATGAAATGAAGCTGATATTTCTGTTTTCACGTTATGTTGTCCAATATAGCCACACACAGCAGAGCAGAGAACCAACACTCATTTGATAAGGCACCTGTGTGCACTCCTCAGGTTCTCACAGCTTTGTTGGTTTATTCTTTTTTTTCAAACACAAATGAGATTAAGCTAAAGCTTTTGTTCCCACATTATGTAGTCCAATATTATTCATACCATTTAAATTCTGCTACTTTCTCTCCTCACATCCTGGAGAAAATATCTTCTATGAATAATGAGTTTCTTAACACAATTCCCCAGCCTCTCCTCTGATTCTGCAATTAAGAGCGTGTAAGAGCTCAATGAGTTACTCCAGTCCATCATCCCACATTACTTACAAGAAGAGCTCACCAAGACCTCGTTTACAAGGTTTACCCAAGAATGCGTAGTCTTATAATCAACAAATGGAACCATTTACAGCATGCATTGCTAAAAAACCAAAACCAAACCCCAAGCAACTTCAGGTCCCTTGCTTCATTTTATTATAAACAGCTGTGTGTTGCAATACAGCATTACACAACTGCCGAAAACCTAATTTAACCAGCTGCCTTTCACCTCACTCACCTCTTTTGCTGTGGTCTTGATGAGCAGAAGAGTTGGTTCATGTCCCTCACTGTGAGAATAGAACCTGAAGTGCAGAGTACACAAAAATGAGCACTCAACCAGCAGCAACTGCAGTTCTTTTCCTTCTTAACATGAGGCACCGCCTCCTCCTCCAAAGGCATGGCAAAAAAGACATCTGAAGACTAAGCATATTCCTGTAGTCCATTGTAAATAACAGAGCTGAGTGTAAACAAACATTATCAAGCAGTTGTTCTTCACCCAGTTGTTTATGGCTCTGCAGAATAACTAGAAGACTACCCATCACCACAGTGGCACTTCACAGCGTTTTGAATTAAGACAACCTAAAGGAGGTTGTGTCCTGAGGACTGATGGCTGTGTCTGAAGAGCTTTCAGTTTTCATAGAAAATACTTGATGCATTCTTTTTGCTAGCTTTTGCCTTTCCTCACAGGTATATGGGGCTGGGACAGCAGACTGCTCTCCACCTCAGTACCTCAACTGCAGATGTCCAAGTCATCAGTAGGAGCTATAGGATTATAGTCTTCTGTGTCCAGTGCAAGGAGAACTCCTATCTAGCTTATCGCACTTGAAAAATAGTAACAATCAGAGCCATAGCTAGACAATTCTCCAGTTTCCAGTTCCCTTGTTCTTTGGATCAGTTTGAATGTGGATATTTATCAAAGGAGCCTGCGGAGCAGCCACTGAGCTAAACCATTTATACCCAGTGGGGAACGAACCAGTCTCAGACTAGCACATTCTGTGAACTGATGCAAGTTTGACTTTTCCAATTGGTCTTGGACAGTTCAAAATGGCTTTCCATGTTCTGGCATATGAAGTGTCCTGGTCAAATGCTGTAGCCCATAGTAATTTGTCACATTTGCATCCCATTGCTAATAATACTCCTCAGACCAAGCTCTGACTAGGCATGGCCTTTTTGTCCATCCAGCAAACAGCTCACCGGTTACTCTTTTTTGCCCTACAGTAGAGAAAAGGTTTTCCTTACCTACTCAGACTACAGCCGTGTTCCAAGGTGGTGAAAAGCAGGAGGGGCTGGCAAAGTGCAAATCGCTCTGGGATCCATGACCAGATATCTCGCATCTCTTTCACACTGACAATTTCAGACTTGAAGTTCTCAGCATGAACTGCTAAGTGCACATTCTGCCTGAGAAATACAATACAAAACATTGAGAAACAACAATTTAACACCAAAACAAGTTTTGGATTACTGGACAGTAACACACAGACAGCTGAACACTAAAGACCCTGGTAGATATGCTATTGTTCAAAGCTCCAGCCCACAGGATTAGAAGGCCATGACCTAGTGAACTGCTGCAGTTTAACATAATCCACAGGAGGCAGTGATCTGCCCTTACTGAAAGACCTGGAGTCATTCCTCTGTGCGGCAGCTGTGGTCTGCACTTTTATGTAGAGAGGACACAATGGTGAGCCAGCTAGGATGACCATGACCTTAAACAGATCAAATTATATTTGCTGTTTGAGACAGTCTCACTGGCACTAGTATTTAAGCAGTCCTAAAGAAACAGCCAGGATCTGAAAGGAACAGGTAAGTAATCCCCGCCCCCCACCCGAGGTCCTGCCTGTATCACGGAATTAGAGAATTCCTAAACCCTCAGAAATCTTAAAGGAATCAGTATTACCAGGTTAAGCAATTTTAATCCAAGGCAAATACTTGAAGCTTTTGGAAAATTCCCACTCTTGGAAACATGCCTTTACCAATGACTTCCACTTCATTAAGGACCAAAGAAGTTTCTGGGTTCATGGTTACGGACGGAGCCTGAACACATGAAGGAATGCTAGACTCTCACACTGGAAAGCAAACCCCATACCCCCCAGAGGGGCCTGACACAATTATAAGAACTGATTCACATCTTTTAAACACTTGAAGATAATAATAATAACAATCACCATCATGATCTTAACCAGCCTCCATTTCTCAGATTAAATAAGCACACAAACCCAGAGCCTGGGGATTAAACAAGTCTTATTGCATCCATGGCCAATGTTAAAGACTTAAAATGCAAGGGTGACAGCCAAGTACAGGGTGGAAGTGACACAGGAACTTACACAAGACAATAAGTTATGGGTAGCCATTAGTTAAATGAAGCTTTAGGCAGTTTGCTCTGCATGCAAGGGTTCAGTTACAAGTATTTGCCAATTTCTGTTTTTTTTTTTTTTTTTTGACAATTACACATTTCTTTCCTTTCAGTTTCATGGAACATAAAGAGGACCTCAATACCTCAATACTACTGTCTGCATGTATCCGAATAGCTTAGCTCACTCCCTAAACCACACAAACTATACATTTTTTTATTATTTTTCCTGCTTGTAGCACCACAAAATGAGCAGTATTTGCACTGTACTTTAGACTAGTGCTTGCTTGGAGACGTTGGGAAATGCTTTCTGAAATTTACTGTAGCTGCCTTAGTGTCAGCATTTCTAATGAAATGACTTCTTAGGTCACTTAAAAACACTAAAATTACTGCTTCCTCCAGAAAAATGAACTAAATCACTACTTGCTTTGCTACCCTGCATTATTTAATTAGCAAGGAACTTATATTTAAGCAAGCTGCAACTACCAGTGGGTTTTAAAACTTACTGTATCACTGACTAGGACATTATTTGAGCTTTTAAACACAGCAAGTTGAGGCACATGAGAGATCAACTGAAGCAAACTATGAGCCAAGACTTGAACCCACATCTTAGGAATCCTACTTTAGGTCTCAGACCTCTGGTTCTGTCTGGTCTGCAGCTAAAGACTGGTGGTGCTACGGAATCGAGCTGAGAAACAAAGCCTTGGTTTCAGTTCATCAGAAATTAGATTTTTCTCACATTCAAGGAATAAAAAAATAGTCAGCGCAGTCAACCAGTTTAGTACAGTGAACTTCTGGAGGAAAAGTACTGATGATAAATAGGCTAAAAGCTAGTGGCAATCAAGACCATTTTAAACTTACTAAACCGTGAACAAGCAATCCTCAGAATTATTTGTATGCTTGGTCTGTACATTTTTCACATGTGATCTGTTTGGGCAACTACACTTAGGTACTTGTTCCTAAAAGGCTCTGAACCTCAATGTACCTTTTCTTTTGTTTCTGTTCCTTCTCCCAGCCACTATGAACTGCTGATTTAAGGACTTTCCTACCCAGACCCCACTCAAAGCCTGTGTTCAGCAGTACTTGTAGTAACACTTTCAGTACACTGCGCCTTCCTACAACCTTTCCGCGTAGGTAAAGCATCACCTTCACAAACAGATCTTTCTGATTTACTGGAAAGCATTTACCACTGTATTACCCATTTAAAACTATTCCAGGCACGCCATTCACACCCCCTGAATACCATGGGGAATCATTCTATATCTAATGTCACCATTCAGTCAGTAAACCTGGACTGTAGCTTGACCAAAGGATCTGAAATAAAATGCCCTGCTATTTCGCAGTCAGAAATCACAGCTGCAGGTGCTTAAGTCTGAAGCCTGACCCTGTGTTGAGACCAGTGTCAATACAAAGCCTGCACCTACATCAAACCAAACTCTCTGCTGCTTAACAAAAATAGAAGTAATTTTTTTGGGGGGTGGTGGTGGGGGGTGAGGGGGTTGCGTGTGTTTCAGAAAATTGCAACTCGAATTACAAGTATCTAACCTGTATTCATCCTCTCACTTTTGACAGTATTTCTCTAATGATACTGAAAATCATCTACTTCAGTTGGGTAGTTGCTTTTCAAAGTAGTAAATGAGTGAAAATGAAAGGCACACAAGTTGGCTAAGAAAAAATAAGTTTTGATCTATATTAACTGATGAAAATTAAGTTTAGCCTTCACCACACCAGAGGTCTTTCAGGGTTAATCTAGTAAAAAACCAAACAATGCAGTTTGTGAGAACACTAAATCTGGACTGGCACTCCATTAAAGTCTACCACTAGAACTGAACAAATTCATTAAGAATTTACCCTGCATTAGCATTTTCCTCAGTTCTTCATGTTAGCTTACTGGGATCAGCATGACAACTTTCTATCGATCGCTGATGTTGGAAAGACATGGTCAATTGCTACTATCCCAAAGGAAATTTGATTTAGAAAAGTAGCACAGTTTAAATGCTTAATAAAGCAGCTTATTTGCTATCTTCGTAGGACCATTGCTTTTACAGCTCTATCATTAATACAACGTGCTTCAGAGACCTCGAAGTTCCTGAAGATAAAGCCAACCTGCTCTACTTTGTTTTGGGCCACATCTTATAGGGTCCACATTATCCTTAAAATCCATTATAACTTCAGTTAGGGCATAAATGCGTGGTAGAAGCGATAAGCTGTTTCTCAGTCATAAACAGCAATACAAGCCTTATATGGTGTACAAGCCTGAAACCTAATCCCGTGTTGAGATGAGTGTCAACAGACACCCTGTATCTACCCAAGTCCCCTCAAACCCAAACTATGTGCTTCCTAGCAGAAATCAAGGCTTTCTGTTGCTTTCAGAACGTTGTAACTACAGTAAAAAAATACACGGATGGTGAAGATTTGCTTGGCTGGAATTAACAGCCTGCTGAGTCGTTAGAGGTAAAATTCTCAACACACAAGATATGATAAGAAACAAGCTTTGATAAGTCTCTTAAGGTGTTCTTTCAGACAGGAAAACATGAGGAAATGAATTCTAATTTTGATTTAACAAAGCAGTACAAATGTTAGTGTGTATCACCTACTAAAGTTAACTCAGGGCACCTGCAACAAGGCCAGAAGATTCTCAAAAGCATTAAACCTACACATCTATTTAATACTCACAGGGCAGTCCTTCACCTTTACAAGTTTTCTGCTTATCAGGTAGCACAATCCACTGGGTTTTGTTCTTTAAGATTTGCTTTTCAGGCCAAAACTTGATGAATGACTTCATTAACCATTAATGCTATACGGCTGAGTAATTCTGACCTCCTTGACACAGGAAAATAGACTTGTGTTCTTGCCTCTAAAAAACCCTACCTACTTAAAAATAAATACAATCTAGTATGAATAGACACAGGTCACTTTTAGGAGCGTGCCAAGTTGGGTTCAGTCCAACATCTTTCCGATCAACTGCAGAAAGCTTGCGAAGAAGAAAAAAAAGTTGAGTAAGTCTCACATCTATTGCAACAGCATATACCAGGTTTGGATATGGGACCATACCCAACAGTTCTGACCTGTCACTTAGGATGGCTTAAAAAACCAGCACTTTTTCTTCCTGTGTAGGGAGGACGTATATCCCACCACTAACATCACCCCTTTCCCTTCTGGCAAGCACAGGACCGTACTGCTGTGTGGCAGCGCCATGTTGACTGGCCAGGCCCTTACCGTGCGCCTCCGCGGGTGCTCTGAGGTAACTTTGCACGAGCGTAGTCAGGAGACGTTACACAGCAGCTGGATGCTGCAATTGCTGCCCTGCTCCTCCTGCTCCAGCGCGAGCAGTAATGACAGCCTCGGAACAAACCACCAGCCAAAGACAGAAGGAACAAGCAAAGCGCAAAGATTCAAGGGTTTTAACCTACCTTTTGGGAGGTGCAACACTGCAGACAGGAGGGGTGCAGTGGTACGGAATTGACAGAAGGAGAACGTATAAGGAGAAAGACAAAAAAAAAAAGATAGAAAAGATCAATGATTTCCTACATCTGCGACCAAGTGAATGAAAGGAGCCTGGAGAGAAACAAAGCAAGGTTTGGTTTGAATCACCAAGCATGAGAAAAACAAACAAACAAAAAGACAGGTTAAAATATTTCCTATTTCTACTTTTTTTTCTTTCCTTTTCTGCTACCTGCTTGTAGTTACCTGATTGGAAAATAATTCATCTCCTTGCACAGGCCAAACACATCTGGACAAGAGAATTCACTCGTATCCCGCTGAGCACTGGAGAAAAGCTCACTTCTCCAGCACCCACATCTGCCTACTGGGATCCAAACTGAGCCACATTCACAGCAGTACGGGCCAGGGGACTCTGAGACGTTTCAGAATGTTTACAAAAGCAGCCGGGAGAGGATTGTTTTTCATTAGCAACTCTGCCCCGTCAGGCAGTAACGACTTGCATTATTTAGGTACAAATTTACTGTATTTTGCTCTGAAGGCATCACTGTTGTTCTGAGCAAGAGCTCCTCTGCAACACTTAACACAGTGGGAGCTTCCGGGGTTTTGGTGGTTGGTTGGCGTATTTTTTGTTTATTTTGTTTTGTTTTATTTTATTATTTTTTTTTAATTTAAAGCTTTCATTTTGTTGCTGAACAATATACTCAGACAGGATATTACAACTCTCCTGAACCTTCGTATAGGAAGAAAAGATACACATTGGAAGAGTTAATACTTCTGGTTGCAAGTCCCAAACACAATGGTCTGAACTCTACCTCATGTGACATTCTGGTGGCTAAAGGCCTTCAAATATTTCAGCCTGACAGAGTGGTCGGAAACAGAACACATCTACAACACCAGTGTTTACCTGCACATACATTTGCACTTGGCAAGGTGCTGATTTTGTTTAGATTAATAATATTGCTGCCTTTTCTTTATACATGGGGAGGTATTTCAAGTAAGCTTTTATTATTGTGGCTTTTACTACCACATTGAAGCAGGATTTCATTTACTAGTTTTATAGCTTGCTTTTCCTCCCCTTGTTTCTGAAAAGAAATTGTGATTATCCAATCATTGTTTGGATCAGTATCCTCACTCTTCTCTTCCATGGCTCTTTCAAAAATCATTACTCCTAACACTACAGGGACCTGTCACAAAATAGGTCAACTCCTACCTATGACTACTATATGCTTGACTTTCAGGAGGCTTGCAGTCAAACTAATTTTAAAAGTAACCTGTAAGAAAGACTTATTTCTTTCTTGTTATGTAAAATAACTTCTCAATAAAGCAAAACATTCCCAGCTGGGACAGTTTTTGCCTACTTACACTATGGAAACTACTGAATTCACAGTACTGGGTGGCATGAAACTGCCATTTGGCGAAAATGATGTCATATTTAAGAGGTAAACTTTAGCATTTCTTTGGGTACTTCTCTTCTAAGGAATTTATCAGTGGTTTTCCCAGCTTTGCTAAAATGCCTTTTAGTTTAAAAACAGCTTGGGAAAGACACTTTTGAGACACAATACTTGCAATTAATATGTACCTGTAAAGAGTAATTAATCACTGAGTAAACGATGAGAAACTGCTTTGTTTCTCTTGTATCAGAACACTTCAGTTACACTTCTCATTACGCCAGCAATGCTTCATTTTGGGGCCGCTGACTTTTTCCGCAGAGAAAAACAATCAGCAGAGATACCTACGTGTACCAGTAGAGACTCCCCAGCAGCCACCCAGGACTGACTGACTGCTCATCCCGTTGGGAAACACTCTCAGGATCACTTGGGCTGCCTGTAGCGAGAGTCCTACCTTTTCTGTTTGACCGTGATGCCCTTCTGCTGCAAAGCCTTCTCGTTGGCCATCTGCAGAAGCTGGATCTCCTTCCGAGAGAAAAGGCGGATAGCAAAGGCTTTTTCCAGCAGCCTCTCCGGAGACACTGACTTGGCAATGTCTCTCACGAAAGTGCGAATGTCCTGCTGTATGCTGTCAGACTCCATGGGCTGCCCAGCTCTGACTTTGTGAAAAAATTTCAGGAGCGCCAGCGCGACGCGGTACAGCACTTTGTAGCCCTCCACCAGAAACACATCAAAGACCCGCACAACGTACGCCATCGGCAGTTCTCCAAAGAGCCACCGCTGCCAGTCGGAATATACCTCCAACACGTCCTCGGACATGGCCACCATCAGCTTATGCGCCGCCTGGCAGTACTTGTTCACCAGGTCACCGAAGGTCATGCAGGAGGACTCGAAGGCTAAGAACGTCTGATCGATGAGCCGCTTAGATGGGTCATTGCAAGCAAGGATGCGACAGACCTGTTCAAAGCACTCTGCCTCGTCTCTGCTGTAGTGGAGGAGCAAAGCTATCATGGAAGGCAGCGCTGGGCAAAACGATATGTCTGGGAACTGATTCGCAATGCATAAGATAATCTTCCTGACTGCCCCGACACCTTCGGCGTTCAGGCAGTATGTGGGGATCAGGCTGTTATCCACAAACTCTGGTAGTGGAAGGGAGCTGCTGTTACGTTTTCCAACAATCTTCACAACAATGTCCCGGTACACATTTGCATCTGGGGTCACTGTGCGGCACGGGATGTTGCCAATTAGTTTGTGGTACACTTTGGCTCTTAGAGAGTGGTTCTTGGCCCAGTAGCCCTGTCGGGCCAGCTGCTTGAGCTCCTGGAACTCCGTGCAGGTTAGCTCTTTCGCATCCTGGCTCTGGACAGTAACATCCATTTTGTCCCAATCCACAAAGCGGTTGTAGTCATCCATGGCTCCAGGAGAAGCATATCAGATAAATTATGAGAATGGAGACCTTACTTGGTCATTAAGTGACTTGCAGCTTTTCCTGCAAAAGAAAAAGTAAAAAAAAAAAAAAAAAAAAAAAGTAACAGGTAATCTCACATTTTCTTTAGGAACACACATGTACATTCAACTTGTTCCTGCAATGCCAAAACCGTTTTCTAAAGCAAAGAAAGTTAAAGATACATACCTCTTTATTTTTAAGTCAAACATTACTTCCATTCTGTCAAAAACTCATACTGAAGTAGTTTATCAATGGCCAGCTGAGAGGTAGTTTCTGAGGACAACTCCACGGGAGGTTAATCTCCCTAACCGAAGGTCCAAGCTGAGGCATGGACCTTTATGTTAACTTCTCGCTTAGAGAACAGAACCCTTCCACTTCAAAAGCACCCATTGTAAAATCTGTTCAATTTGCAATCTCTCTTCCTCATTCTGGGGAAGTAACTGTTATTTATACCACAAGGATGCAGTCTCACGAGCAGCTTACGCTGTTCTGTGTGGCCAGTGACATGAGACACCGACCTCCTGCTAGCCACAGCCATGTGTTCTTAGCCATTTCTTTGCGCTGGTACTAGGACTTGTGTGGCCACAAGGTCACCCAGACCAGCTTGTCAGTCTAGTACATCTTTTCTTTTCCCTTGGACAAGCAAGATTTGCAGCTGTGTGGTCAGGCAGATCACCGCTAGTGCCTGAACACGAGTGCAGGACAGAGCCACCCTTCTGACTGCACTGCAGGCTCGAGTCACCTTCAAACAGCTTCATGAAACTGCTTCTTAAGTCCCCTGAGCACTGCACTGGACTTCTGGTCACGACCCTGCACACACTTCTATGATCAAACCACCCTCTAGAGGGCCTGCTACCACCAACATTAGAAGATTTTAAAAACATAGACCATCACCATAGCACCAGGAGCTGAAAGATCGGGTTCTGGCCTCTAATTCCTCAAACCACATGTTTACACGGTCTACCGCTTGACTCCAGCTTTAAAGTACAACTGTTTCTCAGCAGACAGCACGACTTCAGACACTAATGCCCATACCCGAATCAGCTTTAATCAAGTCAGTGCAAAACTAGAAGGGGAGATACAATAAATTGCACTAACAACAGCAGGCAACAGGTCTGCCCAGCGCTGGAACGCCTCTGCCAATGTGTCCTCAGTGCTAGATAAAAGCTAGGAAGCACATGGCCGTTGATGCTGCACCCTCTGCGAAGGCAGATAATCCCTATAAAAAGCAACAGGCCTATAACACTGTTTTGTACAATTGAGACATTTATGCAGCAAGGCTAAATCAACAGAACCAGTTATTGAAACACTTCCAGAGAACCCTTCGTGATCCCTGTGTTAGCAGACGGGAGAGCGTACGGAATTTGACATTTATCAGCATGGTCTTTCACTACAACAGGTGCATTAAAATGATTTGAGACCCGTAAGGTAGATACCCCATCAAAACAGATGACTCATCCTCCCTACTTTACTACGGGAAAGTAAAACAAATATTTTGCCTCTAGTAGACAGAAGTTCGTAAACATACAATTAGCATTAGCTTGGACAGCCCTACATTTAATTCCATTTAGATTCTGACTAAATATTAATCTGGGTATTTCGGAATCACATGCTGAAACTCAAAAATTTAACTCCTCTTTTAAAAGGTTGGCAGCAACGTACAGGAGCCTTTCAGAGAAGGCTTTTGGATAGCTCTTCTCCACAAAATATTCACTTCAGGGTTTGTTCTTTTTTTAATAAAAAGAAGATTCTTTGAGTCATCTTTATGCAATGTAAGAGCAATACTGAAATGCTCATCATTTATTTTTGTTGCATTCTTCCATATCTGAAATTAATTCTCAGACTGTAATTAAAGGAGGCAACACATTGTCCCAACTTCAGTTCTGAAAGTCAGTTATCCTACAATGTTTGGAAATGATGCCTCTCATACAAGCAGAGAGCTTGTCTTCAGGATAGGCAAAGGCAGTAACAGTAGGATACCAGTCCATCACACAGTCAGTGTCAGCTCTGTGGAATTTAATATTTTTCTGTCATTTTTCACCTGGGAATCATAAGGAAACTCATTATCTTTAATTCATATCCTAGAATAAGATCTTTGAGGAGAAGAGAAATTTAATCCTATTTAGTAGTGATCAAAGCGTGGAGAGATGAACCATTCTGTTCATGGTCACTTCAGTATAGAAACTACCACTACCCTGTGCTTGCTGGACTCTCCGCTATGCAACAGCTTCATCTCTTGGGAGCTGCCTACATCTATATTAGGGAGGGTTAAGTAAAATGTCCATCACACAAGACAAGTTCTAAGATACTTAGAGCTACATCTCACCTGTCCTTTTTCCTACAAACCTTCTTCTCCCTCCTCCTTACTCTTTCCTGTCTTATTTTCTATCATTCAGAGACACAGGCATACTTAAAGGCTGCATCAAACAGTCATTTTTCCCTCTGGAAGTTACTTCCCATTCCAGAAACTAATGAATTTGATGAGTATGTTGTCCTCAGCAAGCTCACTGAAGCCTGTGGCCAGAGGATGGAAGTCAAACTGACAGAACATTCAATCTGAACTTACAGACTTATACATACTTTGGCTGGGATAAATCTGCTTGGTCTGCAAGTAGGTCTGGCCGCTTATGCTTTCCAAAGCTCCAGATGCTGCAAGAAAAAATGACAGCAAAGCAAATGGGCATTGTCAAGGTTGCCATAGCATCACCAGCTCTTAACTGTGCTTGCAAAACCAACAGAATTGGTGTGCTTCAGTGTAACGGTACACAGCTCCTGACACTGTGCCAACAGCTACTGTAAGCCAGCAGGCCTCATGGGGGAGTATTTACTTGCCAAAGGAGAAGAGCACAAGAGATCTCAGGAAAATTCCAGGCAGACTTCATCTCCTCCTCCCACTCCTTCCAAATCCTCCTCCATCCCTCCCTCCCTCTGGGCAAGTTCTCTCTCTTCTGGCAACCCTGTGAAGAGCAATGTTTAACTTCAAGCTGGTGGGAAGAGGAGACAAAAGCTCTCTCACGTTCAGTAGCAAAAGGGCTAGCTGGTGTGGCTGTCTCCTCCCACAAGGGAGCAAGCAGGCAGTACAGGCTGTTCTGTTTGCAGGGACAGAAGGCTGGAGTGTCTGTTAAGCAGTAAAAATAGAGGAGGCTGGCTGTGTAAGAGCGTGTGTCTGTGCCAGTAAGTCCCATCTTCACCTGACTGCTTGGCTTTCACATCTAAAGAAGGGGTAACACCGAAGAGAAAAAACCAGTCCAGAATGAAACGTTTGGACAACAACATGGTTAAAGGCAGGCAGAAAGAGCCATTGAAACCCCTTATTGCAACAAACCTCCTTCCTTCTTGCTAAAGGAACTTCAGAGAAGCAAGCATCACGTTGTGGTAAGTATCCTCTAACTGGAGATGGGCACAACAGGACGGATCGGCACCCGAACTGCACAGAACGGAAATCTTTTCAAGTACCTGTTAGAACAGAACTATAAGGGGATTGCAGAAATTAGCAAAAAAATTAAATTACTCATAACAACAAAGCTTGAAAGTTATGCATACCTTATTTAAGGGGAAGCCGTCATGACCCTTTCTAATCAGCCTGACTTTTACAAAGAAAAAAACACAAAGAACAGAACCAGGAGAAAAACCTTTTTTCTTAGTAACTGCCACACCATTTTGAGATTGTTAGATCTATTAGCCTGTAATGGAGCTCTTCAGTTAAGTGCAACATAAAAAAAAAACCCACACAATTGACAAGGAGAACTACAAAAATGCATATTGAAGATATGCCAAAAATGGCTGCAGAATAGGCAAAAGATTTTCAAGGTTAAGTTTAAACTATGAAGCAAGCAAGTAATCATCACAATTCAGAACCGAGCACGGTAACTGGAACTGGCATGATTTCAAGCCAGTGACTAATACTTCGCTGGCTAGTCTAGCCACACTTTCCATTCCGTTCCCTTCGTTCTCCCCATTGTCACCAGCGCTACTTTCAGAAGACAGTCGAAAACTGTGCTGAATTTGTATAAAATATAAAGCAGTGAAGCCAAGCACGACAAGTCAAATTCTGATACTGTCTGTGAAGAGAAATTCTATGAAAGTGTCTAAAAATACATCAGCATAAAAAGAGAAGATTCGAATTACGACTTACTTTCACTATGGGGAATATAAAGCTCCAATTCTACTAAAGATAACATGGCTAGACAACTTTGACAAAATGCAGGAACTGGCAAACTCAAGCATCTGAAGTACAGCTAACCTAGAGGACAATTATTTCTTTCAAATCCAGAGCGCACACAGTACTCCACAGCAGTGGAATATTTACATTCTAAGCTTCTTAAAAATAAACTCCAGCTTTGGTTAAAACCTAAGATTATGTGACTTGATATCGCTTTTAATAAACACAAGGAAGTTTCCTAAAAAATATTAAATTCTAATTAATCAGGAAAACCTTGTCCCCTATTCCATTTAGGTATTCTTGCAACTTTGTGTTCTGAAAGTTTGACTACAGATTAATAGCTTTTTAAGACACTTCATTCAAATCTAGTGTAGCTGCTCTATAACAAGAACCCCAAACTTTGAAAATAACATTTTTCATCCTAACCACAACAGTTACACCACCTCTGATTCGCCTATTTGCTATGTACTATACACATGCAGCCAGATACCAACGACCAAAATTTTGGCATGCATTTTTATAACACGCTAACAGACAGCAAGAATTTCCTTTTGCTGCCGTTACAAACCCAGGCTAATGCTAAACTCTCAGACCTGCAGGGTATCATTTGCCGTTTATACTGTTGCATAGTGATGTAGCCAGGGAAGAGACTCAAGCCTACTCTCTATCATAACCTCGTTAAACTAATCCGAGCAGAAGGCACAAGAACAGGTAATGAGAACTGCTTCCTCAAGACTGCTAGCTATCAGTCCTCATCCCAGCAAGAGAAAATTAAACCGAAAACCTGAGTAGATGATTTTCCAT